GGGCATTGTACCGACGTGGCTTTTCTCTGCCTCTATTGAGATGCCTAACCCCTGAAGAGGGCCTGTACGTCCTCAGAGAGATCCACGAAGGAGTGTGCGGCAATCACTCAGGCGCCCGGTCGCTGTCAGCCAAAGTGATCCGACAAGGATACTATTGGCCGACCCTCAGCCAGGACGCCAAGAAGTTCGTTAGAACTTGCGACAATTGCCAACGCTACGGAACCATAATCCACCAACCTCCCGAGCTGCTCACCCCCATCTCGGCCCCATGGCCATTCGCGCAGTGGGGGGTAGATATCATTGGTCCTTTCCTTTGGGCAAGGGCCAGACCAAGTTCGCTGTAGTTGCTGTGGATTACTTCACCAAGTGGGCCGAGGCCGAAGCGTTCTCCCACATAACGGAATCCAGGGTCACGTCCTTCGTATGGACGAATATCATATGTCGCTTTGGTATACCGCAGGCCATAGTGACAGACAATGGGAAGCAGTTTGACAACGCCAAGTTCAAAGACTTTTGCAGCAAACTTGGCATAAGTCATCTTACCGGACCACCCAACGAGAGTCGACGGGTGAGACCCCGTTCTCCCTGGCCTTCGGCTCCGAAGCTGTAGTCCCGGTTGAGATCGGCATGCCATCTGACAGAGTAGAGCATTACGAGCCTACGACAAATGAGGATGAGCTGCTCCTCAACCTCGACTTGTTGGAAGAAAGAAGAGCAATGGCCCAGCTACGCCTGGCGGAATATCAGGGCAGAATGGCCAGACATTACAATGCCCGCGTTCGACCTCGGGCCTTTCAGGTCGGACATCTGGTCTTAAGGAGGGTCCAAACGCATGTGGGTGCCCTTGATCCGGCCTGGGAGGGCCCGTTTGAGATCAAGGGCATAGTCCGACCTGGGACGTACATATTGGYCGATCTGAAAGGAGACGTCCTCGCGCACCCGTGGAACGCGGAGCACCTGAAGCGTTATTATCCTTGAAATGCCAAAAGGATTTTCAACGAATCTATAAAGACTGTTCCAAAAGAATTATGATCGGAATAAATGTGATGATTTAATTTCATGCTTCCGAGCTCGACCAGAAATTAAATGGGGGCCACGGACTCCCACACGATCACATTCCGGCAGTTGGTTCAAATTCAATCCTCCGAAGCCTAAGGGTACGAGGTACGATGCCAAAACCACTGATGAACTTAAAATTCAAACCTTCAAGGCAAAGGGGCGATGTGAAAGGTTCAAAGTGATCAAGCCTCCGAACTTGGGGGTACGAGGAGCGATATGAAGAATAGCTACGGACTTAGGATTTTAGCCTTTTAACGTTTTTAAGTTAAGGGGGCGATGTTAAAAAATCCAGAGTTGGTGCAATGCATTGAATGCTAGACAGAGATTCAAATCCAAATTTTCAAATTATTTTAATTAAAGGCGCGACCTCAAAAGTAAGAGGTGCGAGGTGACATTAGCTGCAGTTCAAAGGAAAAGCAAAGAAAAGAGGTTGCCAACAACAAAGTAGAAACAAATGGGAGCCTCTTTATTGAATGAAGAGCAGAGCCAAGGCTTATAGACCTTGCAGCTCTGCCCTGACACTTACAAACAAAAAAGAAAAGGGAGGAAGAACAACGAAAAGCCTCGTGAAGGGTGGTCGCCTAAGAGCCTGCTTGAGGAGCGCCCTCTTGAGTGGAGCCGACCTGGTCCTCTTCGGGATCGGAGTAATCAGAGTCCAGATCTCTGACATACTGATCCACCAACGCTTGGGGGCCAGGGGTGCCGCCAGGCCCAGACGCCCACTTCTCGGCATACCTCCTTTTCAGACCGCTGAGATCGATCTGAAGGTCGGGCATGTCGGAAGCAATGCCCTTCATG